CTAGAGCTACGCAGAGAAGCGGAAAGCGTGGGACGCCGCGTTCCCGGTCCATTCTGGGAGCTGTAGTGCGCCGTACTGGAGGATTCCATTGGCTAGCGCTGTGCTGAGCGGCTGGCTGGACTAACTTACCCAGAAAGCTTCCTGCGGCGCCTTCAGCCGTCAGAGTCCACAGAGTGAGACAGTGTTGTGGCTGTTCTGGGTGAGTGTGCCGGGATTCGGGGATCACCCAGGAGAACGCTCCTGCCCAGGCTGGACTCCGGATATAGGTTTGGGAGATAAATTTACACACAACTCACGCCCTTGTCTGCATTTCTACCCCCCACCGCCCAATTAATTTTACTTCTGCTGCCTCCCCCTCCTGTGTTAGATCAGCACCTTGTCACCCTGTCCTCCTGCATTCACCTTCTCTGTCCTGCTGTGTAAATCAACTTTCTGTATTCAGGATTCTATATTCTCCGTCACATCCCTTTTAAGCCTGCAGGAAATGGCCTCCTTACAATGATGTTTAGCTGCTCTGTGTACCACTTGGGAGATTTGCCTTCACTTCCTGTCCTGGAGACACAACAGGAAGTGGGAGGACATTCCTTCTTACTTATCACTGTGACACACAACAGGAAGTGGGAGGAAATTCCTTCTTATCACCGTGACAGATGTCCCCACTCCTCCCAGGAGCCAGAATAAACTATGCAATAAAAACCTAATGGGGACTATTTTTAAATGTCATTGTTGTGTTGATGAGGGAGGAACCAGGGAGGCAAAATATGAGCAGATTGAACTTCAGCTTGAAACCCCAGACGAGGGCTACGAGGAAGGCCCTTTAACTGTTCCAAAGAACAAACGTGAGGGCGCAAGGCTAAAGGGGCTATGAAACTAATTTAAACAAAGTGAGAGAAGCGAAAGGAGATGGAACACTTACTTTAAGTGGGTCTCGGGACCGGATGGATGTAGAACAGTGGAGGAGATCGTGAAGTCCAACGTGTACAATCAGTGAAGGCTGGTATGTTGCCTCGGGTGGCTCATCTCAGGGAAGAAAGAAGAGAGGGGTGGACAGGGGTGCAGGTGATGGCACACACAGTGTGTCCGTGTCCCCGCTAAAGCAATGTAAAGTGCCGGCAATGTGAGGACTGACGTCAGGCTGGGCTGCACCTGCGAGTGGAGGAACTCGAACTGTGAAATGAACGTGAGCTTGACAAAGATGTAACATCCTCGAAACGCGTTGCTCCCGAGCATCCACCCCACTACCTTACAAACCCGATCCCTCCTCACCTTACCACTATCCCGGCCGATTTGCCATCCCACATCATCACCACGGCACGGGCACTGGTCCAGTCGCGATTGTACACGTTGGACTTCACGATCTCCTCCACTGTTCTACATCCATCCGGTCCCGAGACCCACTTAAAGTAAGTGTTCCATCTCCTTTCGCTTCTCTCGCTTTGTTTAAATTAGTTTCATAGCCCCTTTAGCCTTGCGCTCTCACGTTTGTTCTTTGGTTCCACAAGTGCAGGCACTCCTCCTGTCTCCCAGGGCTGCAGGCGAGGTAGAGCGACAGTATCCCATTCCCCTGGCCCAATCCGAGAGCGCTGTCCGTACTATTCTTGTGTCCTTTAACTGTTCCAGTGACCCTTCCCCCTCAGGAAAAATGCTGCGGGGTACATTTCCCTCTCCAGTGCACTCCGGCCCTATGAGTGACAGCTGTGACAGCCAATCAGAAGTGGAGGAAGAGCACACAACACTCCTTCTGTCACTGGAGGGGGTGATGTATATAGGGGGGTGCAGGATGTGGGGGGTTTATGTGTGTAGGGGGGAGTAATGTATATAGCGGGGTGTAGGGGGTTTATGTATATTAACCCCCCACAGGATGACTATGACCTGGGGACACTGAGGCTTCTTATGGAATCAATGTTAGTTCCAGGGTACGCACCCCGCTGTGTGTGATGTAATAGTCATCTCTGTCCTGGAGTCTGCGTGCTCTGTATACAAGTGATCATTGATGATGATGATGACTCGGCCAGGTATGTGGAGCCTTTATTCCACTTGCCTAGCTACCCAGAGATATATATATATGTATATGTGTATATGGTGTTATATATTCCATATATGCTATGTGTGTATTGTTATGGTTGATGATTCTCGCATGTTATGGTGTTCTTTATTTCCTGTGAAATATCTGATGATCCCGCCAGTTCCCCTCGTTTCCTCTTTCAATCAGAGGAGGAGTTTGCATACCTGGGATTGCTACTTGCAGACTCAGGATCCCATACCAGCACATGGCGCGTCTCTACCTCCCGTAGTCAGCTTTGCCGCCAAGCCCCTCCCCCCCCCCAGCTGTGTTGAGGGACAGCGGCTCCCCGCAGAAATCCAGGGAATGAAGACAGGAAGAGGCTGAAAAAGGCCAAAAGTGATCATCAGCACTGAGATTAGAAAAGAAAACTAAAAATAATTTTAAAGAAACAAAATACACGCTTCAAATTTTGGCAAATTCCTGCTGACTCGTGTGATCAGCTGCATTGGGTGTCAGCTCTCGGGGTCTCTGATCCGCTGCATTGGGTGTCAGCTCTCGCGGTCTCCGATCCGCTGCATTGGGTGTCAGCTCTCGCGGTCTCCGATCCGCTGCATTGGGTGTCAGCTCTCGCGGTCTCCGATCCGCTGCATTGGGTGTCAGCTCTCGCGGTCTCCGATCCGCTGCATTGGGTGTCAGCTCTCGCGGTCTCCGATCCGCTGCATTGGGTGTCAGCTCTCGCGGTCTCCGATCCGCTGCATTGGGTGTCAGCTCTCGCGGTCTCCGATCCGCTGCATTGGGTGTCAGCTCTCGCGGTCTCCGATCCGCTGCATTGGGTGTCAGCTCTCGCGGTCTCCGATCCGCTGCATTGGGTGTCAGCTCTCGCGGTCTCCGATCCGCTGCATTGGGTGTCAGCTCTCGCGGTCTCCGATCCGCTGCATTGGGTGTCAGCTCTCGCGGTCTCCGATCCGCTGCATTGGGTGTCAGCTCTCGCGGTCTCCGATCCGCTGCATTGGGTGTCAGCTCTCGCGGTCTCCGATCCGCTGCATTGGGTGTCAGCTCTCGCGGTCTCCGATCCGCTGCATTGGGTGTCAGCTCTCGCGGTCTCCGATCCGCTGCATTGGGTGTCAGCTCTCGCGGTCTCCGATCCGCTGCATTGGGTGTCAGCTCTCGCGGTCTCCGATCCGCTGCATTGGGTGTCAGCTCTCGCGGTCTCCGATCCGCTGCATTGGGTGTCAGCTCTCGCGGTCTCCGATCCGCTGCATTGGGTGTCAGCTCTCGCGGTCTCCGATCCGCTGCATTGGGTGTCAGCTCTCGCGGTCTCCGATCCGCTGCATTGGGTGTCAGCTCTCGCGGTCTCCGATCCGCTGCATTGGGTGTCAGCTCTCGCGGTCTCCGATCCGCTGCATTGGGTGTCAGCTCTCGCGGTCTCCGATCCGCTGCATTGGGTGTCAGCTCTCGCGGTCTCCGATCCGCTGCATTGGGTGTCAGCTCTCGCGGTCTCCGATCCGCTGCATTGGGTGTCAGCTCTCGCGGTCTCCGATCCGCTGCATTGGGTGTCAGCTCTCGCGGTCTCCGATCCGCTGCATTGGGTGTCAGCTCTCGCGGTCTCCGATCCGCTGCATTGGGTGTCAGCTCTCGCGGTCTCCGATCCGCTGCATTGGGTGTCAGCTCTCGCGGTCTCCGATCCGCTGCATTGGGTGTCAGCTCTCGCGGTCTCCGATCCGCTGCATTGGGTGTCAGCTCTCGCGGTCTCCGATCCGCTGCATTGGGTGTCAGCTCTCGCGGTCTCCGATCCGCTGCATTGGGTGTCAGCTCTCGCGGTCTCCGATCCGCTGCATTGGGTGTCAGCTCTCGCGGTCTCCGATCCGCTGCATTGGGTGTCAGCTCTCGCGGTCTCCGATCCGCTGCATTGGGTGTCAGCTCTCGCGGTCTCCGATCCGCTGCATTGGGTGTCAGCTCTCGCGGTCTCCGATCCGCTGCATTGGGTGTCAGCTCTCGCGGTCTCCGATCCGCTGCATTGGGTGTCAGCTCTCGCGGTCTCCGATCCGCTGCATTGGGTGTCAGCTCTCGCGGTCTCCGATCCGCTGCATTGGGTGTCAGCTCTCGCGGTCTCCGATCCGCTGCATTGGGTGTCAGCTCTCGCGGTCTCCGATCCGCTGCATTGGGTGTCAGCTCTCGCGGTCTCCGATCCGCTGCATTGGGTGTCAGCTCTCGCGGTCTCCGATCCGCTGCATTGGGTGTCAGCTCTCGCGGTCTCCGATCCGCTGCATTGGGTGTCAGCTCTCGCGGTCTCCGATCCGCTGCATTGGGTGTCAGCTCTCGCGGTCTCCGATCCGCTGCATTGGGTGTCAGCTCTCGCGGTCTCCGATCCGCTGCATTGGGTGTCAGCTCTCGCGGTCTCCGATCCGCTGCATTGGGTGTCAGCTCTCGCGGTCTCCGATCCGCTGCATTGGGTGTCAGCTCTCGCGGTCTCCGATCCGCTGCATTGGGTGTCAGCTCTCGCGGTCTCCGATCCGCTGCATTGGGTGTCAGCTCTCGCGGTCTCCGATCCGCTGCATTGGGTGTCAGCTCTCGGGGTCTCTGATCCGCTGCATTGGGTGTCAGCTCTCGGGGTGTCAGCTCTCGGGGCCTCTGATCCGCTGCATTGGGTGTCAGCTCTCGGGGTCTCTGATCCGCTGCATTGGGTGCCAGCTCTCGGGGTCTCCGATCCGCTGCATTGGGTGCCAGCTCTCGGGGTCTCTGATCCGCTGCATTGGGTGCCAGCTCTCGGGGTCTCTGATCCGCTGCATTGGGTGTCAGCTCTCGGGGTCTCTGATCCGCTGCATTGGGTGTCAGCTCTCGGGGTCTCTGATCCGCTGCATTGGGTGTCAGCTCTCCGGGTCTCTGATCCGCTGCATTGGGTGTCAGCTCTCGGGGTCTCATTGCTGCAGGACATTTGTGTTTTGGTGTTCACTGACTGTGTTTTATGTCTTGTTTCCCCCTATAGAGGCTCGCCATGAGTGTTTGGGCTCGCGCCGGACTTTTTGGATCTGCCGTATATTGTCTGCAGAGGAAGAGGAGCGCATTAGCTGAAGTAAAAAGTGACATCACGCAGCTGAGCGACATGGGTTCAGACTATGAGCTGAAACTGGTGCAAGTGGTGTTCCGCCATGGGGCCCGGACCCCTCTGAAGCCTATTCCTCACAGTGAGCAGGTAAGAAGTGGAAGCTAATTTTATATTA